GGAATCTCCACCAAGGCATTTAGTGGGGGGGGCGGTAATGCAGCGGCCTGCAGCCTGCAGTGTATTTTGGGCGAATGTGGCAAAACCGTCACACATTCGGAGCGCAGGTTATAAGACGGCGGCTGCTCGCGGGACCATCAGCCCCCGGCTGCGGGTGACGGGCCATCCTTCCCGATGGATCAGTCACCTTCATAAGACAGGAAGGGGGCGCCCTCAGAACTTTCTGGACTCTTCTGAGTTCTGTGCAGGGTGTCAGAGGAGACCCAGCCAAGACCCTGACCCAGGACCCCTAAAGGGTTTGGGGGTCACCCAAGAGCCTGGACTCGGGCTTTGGGCTATTTTGGGAGGATTTGCGTTCCCAGGTGGGAGTGGGCTTCACGGAGTAGGTGGCCTGTGGGGAGCAAGTGAGATGGAGAGGGGGCCCCCAAATCCTGGCAGGTTGGCGCCTACGATTTTGTCCTACTAGATAAATCTGAGGCAGCAAGTCCCTCTTTGCTTCACCCGTAAGAAGAGAGCCTGTGCTCAGAGCAGGCCTGGCACCTGCCCAAGGCCACACAGCTGGAATTTTAGCCCAGTCTCCTGGCCCTGCCAGGCTAATCCTCTCTGCTGCCTGGAATTAACCATCTCTCCTTCCCACACCCGCCCCCTACCCACAGCCCTCCTGCCCCATCGAGTTCAAGTCAGCCCCCCACCATCCCGCCTTCTAGCTCCACCAGCCAAGCTTGTAAACATAGCGAGATCCTCCCTCCTTACAAAAGTATGGCCATAAACCCAACTGGTCTGACCCAGTAACCCGGCTCCCGGAAGCTACCCGAGGGATGCAGGAGACACGCGATCCAAGAGATGTGTGCGGCCGTGTCACCGCAGTGCTGCTTACAACAGCCCACTCTGGAAACAACCTAAGTGCCCAGGGACAGGGGAGGGGATAAAGAAGGCATGTGTGGAATATTACTCAGCTGTGAAAAAGGTGAAATCTTGCCATTTGCGATAACATGGATGGAAGGTGAATGAATTTGCTTGTGTGGAATATAAAGAAACAAAACAAAGGAACAGGCAGAACAGACCCCACTGGGCTGTGGTGGGGGAGTATGGGTGCCTGGGTGGGGCAGCCACCGGCTTCTCGCCGCTCCCTGCGCCAGGGGCCGAGGGCCGGGTTCTCGCGCCCGCGCCCCGCTAGCTCAAGGAACCCCCGACAGCTCTCCCGGGAGGGGCTCCCAGAGGCTCACCCGGGCCGGGCACACGGAGCCCCGGCGCGGGTCGGGAGACCTGACTGAGCTGCCTCGGCGCGCCGGGGCGAGCGGCCGCGCCCGCAGGGCCTCCTCCCGCGCGCCGCCTCCGTTCCCGGCCAGAGGAAGCGGGGAGACCGGGGCTCCGGGGTCCTCGGCCGCGGCCCCGTCCTCGCGCCCGCAGGGAGCCGCGCGGCCACCGGGGGCAGCAGCGCCCGCCCGGCCCGGCGCGTCTGCGCGGGCCCCGCCGAGCCGGGCGCCCGGGAGCGAAGGGCGGGGCGTCCCGGGGCCCCGACGCCGGCCGGCCTGCCGCGGACCCCGGGGCGGCCACGTCCAGTCTGGGCCGGCGGGGTCGGTGGTCGGCGGAGAGCTCCGGCTGCTGCAGGCGCAGGCGCCCGGCCGGCTGCCCCCGCGGTCCCCGAGCCCGGGCAGTGCCGGCTCGGGCGCCGCCGGGCCTCCCAGGGTCCGGCAGACGGGCCAAGGGAGCCGGAGCCCTCGGGGGCCTCTCAGGCTTTTCCCGAGCTGTTACATGCAGAGCAGCAGCCAGGCGCAGGCAGGCAGGGGTGCGGGGGGGGGGGGCCAGAGGCGCCGCCTCCAAGCCCCTCTTCACTCTGGGCTTCTCTGGCTTCTTTCTCCCCTTCCCGCTCCTGCTTCTGCTTCTCTTGAAGACTGTCTCAGCACCCCCAGGGCCCGCAGAAGTTAACAACACAGCAGTGCAACAACTGCGGGCGCCCCATCAGGCAGGGCAATCCTAATGGTGGGAGGGCAGAAAAGCCTGAAAATCATTTACCCTACACCCGGTCAACCCCCCCCCCCCCCCCCCCGCACCGTGGGTTCACAGGGAGGGCCTGGCCAGCACTGGGGCCTAAGCGGCGGCCCACCCGTCTAGACTTCTCCCCATTTTGTGATGAGGAAACTGAGGTTCACAGAGGCTGAGCACCTGGCCAGGGCGTACCTGAGTCAGCCTCGGAGCCCAAGCTGGAGCGGAGGACCTGGGATTTGCAGCTGGGGCTCTGCCCTCCGCCTCCTGCGCAAACCCCAGAATCCTGCCTTTGTCACCTGCGCAGCTTTGCAGCGGTCAGGAGTGTTAGCTCCCTCCCAGCTCCCCCACCAGGCAGGGCTGTGGTGGCAGTGGGGCTGCCGTCCCCTCCCCACTTGCCCCTTCAGGTGGGCCCTGTGGCCTGGAAAGAAAAGCTCTAGAAACATTTCCACTAGGAGCCTATTCTGCCCCTTTCCTTGTAGCTCAGCACCTCAGCCAGGGCAAGTCCACCGCCGGGAGGAGGATGTAGTCAGGATCTGCCCCCACCCACCCCTCGCAGTCCCAGGGGACTGAAGCATGTGCACGTGCTCTCTCTCTCTCTCTCTCTCTCTATATATATATATATATATATAAGATTTATTTCTTAATGCATAGAAGAACTGGGGTACAGGTGGGGGTGGTGAGAGGATTCACCAGAGACAGAGTGGGGGAGCAGAACAGGCAGATTGACTCAAACACACTGCTGAGCGGAGCAGCAGGGGGTCAGGAGAGGTCAGATGTGGGTAGATCCCTGGCCAGGGATCGAACTAGTGCTGCAGTGGCTCTGGATTGCCTCATAGGTACCATCTTAACCCCTTGTGCTGCCAGGGAGGCCCTATTTCTCAGTTTTAACACACAGATGATACTCATGATTCATGGATTCCATATTTGCAAATTCACCTCTAGCTAAAATGCCAGGTGAGTCCAACAAGACTCTACTCTTTTTGTAATATTTTATCTTTTAAGATTTATTTAATTATACATACAAGAACTGGGGTACAGGCCAGAGATGCCGGGGGTGGGGTGGTAAGAGGATTCACCAGAGACAGAGTGGGGAACAGAACAGGCAGATTGACCGAAGTACACTGCTGAGGGGAGCAGCGGGCAAGTCAGGAGAGGTCTGCTGCGCCATGTGGGTAGCTCCCTGGCCGGCGGGGGGATCAAACACATGCTGCAGAGGCTGCGGTTTGCTTCATAGTGCGGTGCTTAACCCCTTGCGCCACCAGGGAGGCCCCTGTTTCAGCTCATTCTGGAAACAAGTGTCCTTTCACACTTAGTGCCATATTTTTTAATTTTTGTGCTTTTTGGAAAGTGATTTTAGTGTGTTTAAAAATGGTCCCCATGCACAGCACCCAAGTTCCTGAGGACAAGAAGACTATGATGCGTGTGGAAAGAACACCCGTGTTAGATGTGTATCCTCCAGGCATGAGTTATAATGTTGTTAGCGGGGAGTTCAATGATAACTAGTGATACATATCAAACAAGGTGCTTTGAATAGAAACACACGTAAGATTATACATTGATCAGTTGATAAAATATAACCAAAGGCTTAGAGAAACATTTTTTTTATCCCTACGAATAAGGGTTTCGTATCCACCTTGTGTGTGCTCGTAGACTTTATGAAACACAGCTATGGGGAGGACTGAGCATAGACAGAGGCATAAAGAGTCTCAGTCTCTTGCCTGCTGTCACTTGACTGAAAAGGGAAGGCGTCAGGACTAGAAGCCAGGCAGTTACTCAGGAGCCTCGACTCCCACATTTGGAATCCAGCGTGACCTTGTGTTTAAACAACACTGTAATTGGATGGCTGGAGGGCCAAGTTCTGAGTTTGTTATTTAGCAGGTATTAACTGTATTCCAATAAAACTTTATTTACAAAAGCACAGGTGTCCAACAGACGCCCCCTACCACAGTAAACTCTTCCAGGAGGCTCTGTCTTATCTTTGTAATTTCATCTCTACCAGTAATAATTGCCCTGATTTTACCAAAGAAGGAATGAAGACACAAAGAGACACTGACACTGACTTTTTTTGGAAAAGACTTATTTATTCATGCATACAAGAACCGGGGACAGGCCAGATGTGCGGGAGGGTGAGAGGATTCACCAGAGACAGAGCGCAGAGCAGAGCAGGCAGGTGGACCGAAACACACTGCTGAGGGGACCAGAGGGCGAGACAGGAGAGGTCTGCAGCGCCATGTGGGTATCTCCCTGGCCGGCTGGCTTCGAACCCGTGCTTTAGAGGCTGCGGACAGCTTCACAGCTTTGTGCCCAGCTCCCTGCGCCACGAGGGAGGCCCCACACGCTGATTTTGCGGCAGGGAGGCCCAGACCTACAACGGACGGACGGCTCAGATGTCGGCTACCGGGAAAAAGCAAACACAAAGCAAGGGCGCTTGTCTCCGCAAACGCGCGCCGCGGAGGGTAAGGCCCACCGCCTGGATCCCGGGACTCGCGGCGTGACCCCCCCAACTGCGTTCCAGGCGCTCGGGCGGCTCGCGCGGCTCGGCGAGGCCCGCCCTGAAGCGCGGCCGTCCGCGTCGGGTTTAGTTTCGAGCCCGCGACACGGCGAGGCCCGGGAGGCCGGGAGGGCCTGACGCGAACGGGGATCCTGCCGCGGAACGAGGGGCGTGCGGAGCCGTTTCTGAAGAAGCCCAAGCCCCGCGCCCCCTCCCCGCGCCCCGCTGCTCTCCGCGGCGCACAGGGGGGGGTCACTTCGCGAGCCCCGGCCCGAGGCGAAGCGCCCCCGCGCCCCGACGGCTGGGCCGGCGCGCCGTCGGGGCGCAGGGGCGACACGGCCGCTTCCGGCCGCCCTGGCCGCCCCGCCCACGGGGGCGGGCCCTGCGCTCGCCCCGCCCCTCGCTTCCGGCGCGAGGCCGCGCCCGGGCGCCCGTGACGTCACTTCCGGGGCGGCGGGCGGGGCCCGAGCTGGGGCCGCTGCCCTGAGTCTCGGCCGCCCGCGGGCCACGTCCCCACGCCGGGCCGCGGGCGCCTCTCGGGTCCGAGGGCCGCCGGCCGCCGCGGGCCTGCCTCGCCCGGTAAGGGGCGCGCTGCCGCCCGGGGCGCGGTTGTCACGGCCGCCTGCACCCGCTGGGGCCGGAGAGGAGGGAGGTGGGGCAGGAGCGGGGTGAAGGGCAGCAGAGGCTGGAGGGGTTGAGGGGGACGGGAAGGGGCGTGAGAAAAGATGGGGACACCGTGCAAGACGTGGAGGAGGGGAGGTGGGGAACAGGAGGCGACAGGAAAGAACTGAGGGAGCCCTGTGGGGGAACCTAAGAACTTGGGGCTCCCTGGAGGGCAGGAAGGGGCTGAAGGGCACCCCAGACCTGGGAGAGACGAGGCCCCGGGGGGTTCCCCTCTGGAAGCACAGCCGGGGGCAGTTGGGACACTCCTGAGTGGGTGGGAACTAAAGGGCTTAGCAGGCGAGGCCGGGACCAGACTGCGCCCCAGGTAGTATTGCCCTCTAAGAGAGAGGTGGCCCTTTAGGGGACACAGGTCGCCCTCCCCCCCGGGCTGCTTTGCCTGGGAGGGACGCGTGCATGTCCAGCTACCTGTCTACCTCCGCCGTGTGCGTCTGAGTGGCTGCTTAGCGTGCACGCTTACCTGGGAGACAGAAAGGAGTCGCCGTCCAGGCGGTTTGCCATAAACCTGTGCTCGGAAACCTGCCGGGAACACCGTGCAGCAGAGCGAAGGAAGCATCCCAGGCCCTAAAATTCCAATGAAATTGTCAAGGAGAGCATTTAAAATGCTCAGTTTCCACGCATGTGTTAGACTTGCCTAGTGGACAAAGGAATATCAAATTGACCCACAATGACAGCAAAAACTAGGTCCATATCAGTATTGAGCGGTGATACCCAAACCTCTAGGAACCCAGAAGCTGGCAAAGTAGTTAAGACAATAGCCAGCATTCCAGGTGCCCGTCTGCCACCCAGACACATCCTTTGGACCACAGTGCAGTGTGTACACAAAGCCACATCTGTGTTCCTTGGACTTTGCTGTCAAAGGTCGGCCAGGTGACGTGTCAAGATCAAGGAGCGGGGCCACCTATGTTTGCTTCCACAGTCCCTTCTCCAGCTGCGGCAGGGACCACGGCCACGTCACTGCTCGCAAATCAGTAAGGGTGGTGTGGTGGCATGTAGACGTGGCCCTTGCACGCCCTCACTGAGCCTGGGGATTACTTGTGTCGGATGTTAGAAACCTGCCTAAGCCAGAAAATGGAGTGAAGGAACTGGGAGTCTGATTTCATGTAACTTACACAGCACCTTGCTATGATTAGAAAAGAATCAGGAAGTTGACGCCCACACCACAATCTGGGGGTGCCTTCCTGGGAGGGGGTGATTCAAGGGGATACTGCCCCTTCCCAGCAGAACTTGTGAGAAACTGACCCCAGAGTCAGGGGCTCCCCACACTAGACTAACCCCCATTTTTCTCCTCTGCTGGCCCAAATACCCTAACTGTAATTCTTGTTTATTTCCCTGTGCCTTGGGGTCTCTTTCCTTGCCATCTGCCATGGTCTGACACCTTGGTCTCCCCACCTTGGACTCCCCAGTCTCCCTGCACCAGCCAATGGTCAATAACTACACTGGTCAAACCCTCATGCAAGGCTCCTGGTGGTGGCCTTTGTAGGAGAAGTGATGATTTTAAATCTTGTTAATGGGGTGTCAATTGGGATGTAACTTAGATTCACACAGGGCCCCACAAGTGCTGTTGGAAAGTGGGGGCAGGACCATACCAGAGAGATGAAGTCACAGCCCGAAGGCCAATTCCTCTTTCCGTGGGAGTGATCACCCGCCCCACTGGCTGGGAGTGGATAAGCAGAGCTGGGATCCAGCAGAAGTTTCCCAAGAACCTGGGGGTTTCCTGAGATGGCCTCCTAGAGACGCCTCATGTGTGCCCGGCTTTCTGTCTGCAGCCGTGTGGGCTTGCCTTGTGCACGTGTACACATGAGGCCGTGTGCAAGCACATGTGACTACACTGGAGCGTGGCTGCTGGGTGTGTACATGTGGGGGCATGTGAGGGGCCCAGGTGGCTGCAGACGTCAGCACCCACAACACCAGCCCCTGGCCGTGGCTGGGAGCCGCTGCTCTAACCTCCTCCTGGGTTTACTTTAAATAATCAACAAAGGGGATGGTCTGTGCTGGCGGTGCCCTCCCGTCGCCTTCCCTCCGGGCTGCTGAAGCTGAGGTCGGTGCCTAGAGGCTGAAGTCAGGCAGGTGCACTGAGTTACTGAACGTGCCTGTGAGGCCGTCTCGGGTTGTGTGGCTGCTGCTGGTCTGTCATCAGAGCATTTCAGAAGGGCTTTTAACAACGGGACACGTGCTCGTAAAACACATGTGGAACCCGCAGGGCCTCCTCCTGTGGGCAATGCGTGTCCTCCCAGGCCCCTGGACGACGTCTTTTTAACCAGAGCTGGGGTGGCGGCGAGGCGCGATGCGACTACCTTTCGTGCTTCCCAGGACCGGCAGATGTGTCATTTTTCACAGCTGCATAGTGTGTTTTCTACGGATGGGACCATCCTGAACAGACCTTTCAGGGGGTTCCCACTGTCAGCAGTGCCGTGGGGGGCCCCTCATGGCTGTCTGCATCCAGATGCGTCCATCTGCTCCCTGAGAGGAAACCAGGGTGTCCCCAGCGCTGCTACGTGGAGTGCCCCCGCCCTGTGCCGTGCCTGTCCTGACGCCCGCTCTCTCTCGCACCTTAGATGTGTCCCTCAGCGGAGTGGAGCAGGGCCCCACATGCGCCACACAGTATGCCATGGCCTGGGCGGGCCCCTCCCAGCCCTCACCTCCTGCAGAGCCAGCTCTCGGTGCCAAACCCACAGCTCTCCCTGGAGGAAGACGCCCTGGCCTGGGAGTGCAGCCTGGGCAGCGGCCTCTGGTGAGTGTCGAGGGTCCTGCAGGCCCGGCGCCTGCTGGGTGACAGGCCAGGGAGGGCCAAGGAGAAGAGCCGGGGCTTCGGGTGTATGGGGCCTCCCCTGCAGACACCCTTCTTCTGAGGACATGGAGCATCCACGGGCGGCCCCTCAGCCCTCTGTAGCTGAGATGCAGCTGCAGTCAGCACAGGAGGCTCTTGCGCCTTCAGGAGCCTCGTGCACAGAGGGTGCTCGCGCTCCGATGCAGGGCGGGGCCTCTCAGCAGAGGCGCCACGGGAGGAGACCCAGTAGAGGCCGCCCCCCCTGGGGGCTGAGCCACGTGGGTTCAGGGCAGGCACTGTGGGAAGCGGAAGCCCCTCTGCTTGGGGAGCCGCCCTCCTGGCCTGCAGCTGCCCTGTGGCTCGCTGACCGGGAGCAGGCCCTGCTGCCGGCGAGTTTTCTGGGGACTCGGCCTCGCCCGAGCCACAGTCTTGTGTTGCTGCGATGGGCCGCGGGGCCCATAGTCCGAGATCACACTCGCTGGCTCTGTCAGGGAGTCGGCCAGCACTGCCCTTGAGGTTTGGGGTGCGGGAGCAGCGGGAGGCCTTCAGGCTTGGGCGGCATTCAGGGAGCTCCTGTCTCCTTATCTCAGCAGCAGAGCCAGACCCAGGGCCACCCAGGCTGGGCTTGGCGGCCTTCAGATAATGCCGTATCTGTGGGGGCCCAGCTGCACGGCTGGGGGCGTCTGCGTGCAGGAGCCCGGCCCCTCCCTCTCCCCTCAGTGACAGTGTCCGTTGTCCTCCCTCCACGCTCCCGCTTGTTCCGTCAGAACAAAGACTGGTTTGCGCTCCAGATGCAGCCTGTGGTCTGCGGGGCTGGGGAGCTTTTCCAGCCCGTCTTCTCCCGGGAGCCCGAGCACCGTGGGCAGCCCTGGAGGACGAGGACACCTTGGACGTGAAGTCTGCTTCTCGGGAAGGGTCAGCGCGCGCCGGCTATGCCGGCCCCCACGGAACAGGTGTGGGCAGGGCCTCCTCCCGCGCACCCCCTCCCGCTGACCACAGGAGGCAGCAAGCCCAGGGTACCCTCCCCCGGCAGCCCCCATGCACGCCACACTCTCCAAAACTCCAGTTTTGGGATGTTTGGGGTAACCCCTGCAGGGGCAGGCTGGCGGCAAGGCCCAGCTCGGGCACCAGCAGCGCCATGTGCCCAGTGGGGTGGGATCACAGGAGCAAGCCGGGGCGCTCACCATGGAGGCTGCCTCCACCATGACACGGAGCTTTGGGGTATCTTGGGCAGCAGGGGTTTTAGCAGTGGGAGGTAGCAGGTGGGTCAGGACCATGACGGGAGGATTCGTTTGTGACTTTTAGGGCTGATGGGGGGGACAGTGAGGCTACCCGGCTCCCCACGAGCCGCCTGGCTACAGGGCCCCCAGAGATTGCATGCTGGGTGGGGAGTTGGCTGGTCCCTTAAGGGCACCCTTCCTCATCGTTCGGGGGAGTTTGAGAGTTGAGGGCCCCGTGGGGAGACAAGCCTGGGGGTTTCCGGCAGGACTGACTCTGGAGGCTCCCTGTACCCCAGTCTACCACCTACCCTCAGCATCCACCGGGCCTGTGTTCTGCTGACCCTGTGCCTGGGACTATGACCAAGGGGACCAGGCTGTTGGCCCGAGGGCGTGGGCATGGCAGGCAGCTGTGGCCCTCGGTGGTCAGGCAGGGCTGCGGGCAGCGGGGATGCGCCCAGGACCCACCCATGAAGTGATGGAAGGCTTGGGGCCAGCTGGCCTCTCGGCTCCTGAAGCCAGGGGTCCCCACCTGCTGGCACCCAGCGGGGACCTGGATGAGTGTGGGGTCCTCTGTGTACTTGATTAAGTGGCTCTAGCTAGGCCCAGGCCTGTTCCTGCTGAGGCTCAGCCACTGGCCTCCAGAAGTTTCTAGTCACACGCTCTCCCTCACAGTGGTGAGGGAGAAGATTCTGGTGGTCAGAAGATTTTGGCACCGTGAAAGTGGCCAAGTCTTGTCCCATTGCTTCCCTCTGAGCTTCAGGGTAGGAAAGTGCGCACTTGTAGAGGTTGAGACTCGTAGAGAAGTCGGGTCCAGAGTGCCTTAAGCCCCCCAGTGCTGCACCCCATGCTCTTCCTGGGCTGATGCGCTGGGCGGTTTTGCAGCCAGACCCCGTGGGGCCTCCACGGCAGGCACACCGCTGAGCGTGGGCCCCGGGCGAGGCCTTGTGGCTCTGACCAGTTGCCTTTTTTCTTGACCACAGATCCCTGGGCCAGGCAGCAGGAACGTGCTAGCAGCCTGAGGAGAGGCCAGCAGGGCACTGTGGGGACAGCCCAGCCTTGCGCCCAGCCCTCCTGCAAGATGTGGACAGCCCTCATGCTGCTGTGGGTGCCCACCTTGTCCTCGTCCTTGTCTGCAAACCAAGTGGCACCCCCTGATCCACGTAAGTCAGAAAGTCAGTGACTACTGGACACCCCCAGTGGCCCCAAGTGTTAGGGTGACCATGTACCTGGCAGCAGGTCAGGGCCAGGGTGCCCCTGAGTCCACTGGGCAGGTAGTGGGCTGAGCCTCCCAGGGTCAGCGTGGGTGGGGAGCCCCCCAGGGCCTGGCCTCTGCCCCTCGCTTGCTTGACCTGTGACATTTCTATACCTGGTTGTTTTGGGGCTCACCCATCATACCCCAGAGCTCACTACACACTCAGCTCCAGAATTCCCACCACAGACCCGCTCACACAGCCAAGCCCTTCTGCGGTGTGACTCCCTGGGCCACGCCGCGTCCACTGTGTGGGCCTGGGGGTGTCTGTGCTGGTTCCTTACAGCAAGATGTGCCTGTCTTGGGAGGCCTTCGCCCGGCCGGGGCTCAGGGTTGGGTCTAGGAGCGAAGCTCTAAGTCTCCTTGGGCTGGGGCCTCAGAGAGGGCAGAGAAGTTTTAGAATCAAAGTGCCAGGTGCCCCCCGAGGGCAGCAGGCTGGACGTGCAGGGAGAAGGCTGCTGAGGAAGGAGGGCTGAGCTGCCCAGGCCAGCACCGGCAGCTGAGTAACCCACGTCTGCTGTCCAGCGCGGCTGACTTTCTCTCCCTTTCTGACTCTCAGGGCACTTAGTCAACGAAACACTAAGGGCTGTCAATAAAACGTCTGAGGCTGTGACTGTGGCGACACCTCCTCCTGTCATGCTGACCACTGGACCCTTAGTCACCAGCCCCAGCTCCTCTGTTGGCACCACGGGGAGGACACCTGGGACAAAGGGGAGCACTGCAGCCACGGCCCACGGAGCCCCCGAGCGCACAGCCTCCCCAGCATCCACACAGCAGGCCTCGTCCTCCACCGCTGCCACCAGTGGCCCCACTGAGGGGTCACAGCAGGCCCTGTCCTCTACCACTGCCCCCAGCGGCCCCACCAACGGGTCACGGCAGGCCCTGCCCTCTACCGCTGCCCCCAGCGGCCCTGCCGAGGGGTCACCTGGCAGCACGTTGCCCAGTGCAGTAGCTCCCACCACACCAGCCACGGGCGCCCCGGCCACATCTAGTGCCCAAACAGTGACGGCCAGCCTAGAGGGCACACACGTTCCTCCCAAGAACACACCCGGCCACCCCACAGTCAACTCCACACGCCCCACGAGTGCCCACACACCGAGCTCGGCCTCACCATCCACACACGGCCTCACCGTCGACTCGCCCACTACCCGACCTGTGGCCAACAGGACGAGTGAGCCTATGTCCACCCCCACAAACACAACCCTAGTGCCCACCCCCACAGTGAGGACCACTACCGGGACACAGGCCGGAGGGCTGGCAGCCAGCACAACGCCAGCACGTGCCACCAGCCCCAGCCCCGAGGCGGTGGCCACGTCCCCCACCACGTTGCCAAGCCCTGCGCCGTCCACCCCAGGGGCAGAGGGGCCTGGCACACCCCACACACCGGAGCAGCCAGAGCCAGAGGCCACCACCGGTACCACCTCCACCCCACCAACACCTGGGCACTCAGGGGGTCCTAAGGTGCCAACCACAGACTCGTGCCAGCTCAGCACCCAAGGCCAGTACCTGGTGGTCACCACTGAGCCCCTCAACCAGCCCCCCGTGAACCAGAGCTTCCTCCTGGCGGTGCTCGTGCTCGGGGTGACCCTGTTCATCGCCGTCTTGGTCCTGCTCGCCCTGCAAGCCCACGAGAGCTACAAGAAGAAGGACTACACGCAGGTGGACTATCTCATCAACGGCATGTACGCTGACTCGGAGATGTGAGGGCAGCGCCCCGGCCTCCGAGCCTGCCCAAGTGCTTCCGGACCCTTTTGGTGCAACTTAGGAGACACGCCAGATGCTAAAGGCACTTAATCGCCATCAGATTAACCCCACGGTCACTAGAGTTCTGCGTTTTTCATATTTATTTTTTTAAATGATGCCTCGGACGGCCCAGGCCGGAGCTGCCCAGGGAGCAGCTGGAGCCGGGCCGGAATTAAAGCGATGACCGATCTCTGGTCAGTGTGTCCCATGTCCCATGCATGAGCTGCGGCTCGCGGGGGGCGGGCTTAGCGGTTTCTGGGACTTGCGGCCCCAGGGGCCTGCTTCCCGATGCCCAGGCCCTCCCAGCGCCCCACCCCCACCCCTGGGTGCTATCCCCCAAGACTGCCCGCGCTCACTAGCCTGGAGCCCTTCAGAGGCTGCGCCCTTGGGTGTGAGCAAGGCCTCAGCCTCTGGCTCCACCTCCAGCCCCCTCCCCTCCCCGGAGGTCACTGGCCACTAGCCCCCCTCATTAACACAGCAAGAGACATCCAGGGCTTGGGGGGGCCTGAGCTAGGAAAGATGACCTTGGCCGCGGGAGGCCGCCCTGCACCAGCTGGGCAGGTGCCCCGAGCACGTTGTCTGCCACTCGGGCACTCGCAGGTGAGGCTGCTGCCCACTCGCAGGCACCCCGGGGCAGTGGATGAGGTGGGAGCAGCACAGGAGGAAGGCCTGCGCTCAGGGGAGGTGCCTGGGGGGGCTCAGTCTCCCTCTCCCCATCTCTGGGACTGCAGCCAGGACCACGGGGGCCATGGGAGGAGCGGGGTTCCCCCTGCATGGGGAGGCAGGGGCCAGTGTGGACATAAGAGTCAGGGCGGTTCTGGAAAGGAAGCTGGGCCCTTCGGTGACTTTGCTGCCTCCTCCCCGGGCTGACCTCTGGGGGGACAGTCAGAGCACCGCGATGAACGCCCCTGGCACTGCACAGAAGAGACCCGCTGGGAGCACCGAGGGGCCAGAGGCCTGCCCCTAAGGGGCTCTTTCCTTCACGGGGGAAACCGAGGCGCAGGGAGGGCAAGCTGCTGGCCCAAGGTCACCCCCCAGCCGGCGGCAGGACGGGGTTCACCCTGGGTCCGTCTGTCTGGGCGAACTCGGGCCGCGCTGGGCACAGGCAGCCCCGGAGCAGGACACCGGAGCCGCCCCTGCTTCCCGCGGCCGCCCCCTGGTGGCCGGGCGCGCCTGGCGCCCGGCGGCTTCGCGGGACCCTCCCCGGCTCCCTGGCTCCCCCGGCTCCCCCAGCCCCGGCTCCCCCATGCCCTGCTTCCCCGCCCCCCCTACCCCCATCCCTGCCCCCCTACCCCCATCCCTGCCCACCCCCGCCTACCCCATCCCCTGCCCCCCCCTACTCCATCCCCTGCCCCCCCCACCTACCCCCATCCCCTGCCCCCCCCCCCCTACCCATCCCCTGCCCCCCCCGCCTACCCCATCCCTGCCCCCCCGCCTACTCCCCATCCCTGACACCCCCCCCCCGCCTACCCCATCCCCCGGCCCCCCCCCCGCCTACCCATCCCCGGCCCCCCCCCCGCCTACCCCATCCCTGCGCACCCCCGCTTACCCCCATCCCTGCCCCCCCCTCCGCCGGCCTCCCCCACCCCCGGCCTCCCCTGGCCTGGCCCCCCGCGCCCCCAGCCCGGGGTCTCGCCTGCTGCGGGACAGAACGTTCTGGAGCAGCTCCAGGGCGCGCCCGGGACGCCCCCGCCAGGAGCCAGGCCTGAAGCCGGAGGAGGCAGCGGGCGCCCCAGGGGCGGGTCTCCCGTGCAGAGCGCCCTGCGCGCCCCGCTCCCGGCCCGGCTCAGCCCGCCCGCGCCTGCACACGCGCGGCACACGCGTGCACACGCACAGGCACACAGGCACACGCGGGCACATGGAAGGCACGCGTAGGCACACGCACAGGCGCACACATGGGCACGCTCAGGCACACAGGCACACGCAGGTGCACACGCATGCACAGTCACACGCATGCGCACACACAGGCACGCGCAGGCACACGCAGGTGCACACGCAGGCACACACAGGCACATGCACAGGCACGCGCACACAGGCACACGCAGGTGCACACGCAGGCTCACACAGGCACACGCAGGTGCACACTCAGGCACATGCAGGCACACGTAGGCACGCGCAGGTGCACACGCAGGCGCACACTCAGGCACATGCAGGCACACGCAGGTGCACACGCAGGCGCACACAGACACACAGGCACACGCAGGTGCACACACAGGCACGCGCAAGCGCACACACAGGCACACGCAGGCGCACGCAGGTGCACACGCAGGCGCACACACAGGCACACGCAGGTGCACGCGCAGGCGCACACGCAGGCACACGCAGGTGCACACACAGGCACGCGCAGGTACGCGCAGGCGCACACGCAGGCACACACAGGCACACGCAGGTGCACACACAGGCACACACAGGCACGCGCAGGCACGCGCAGGCACACGCAGGCGCACACGCAGGCGCACACACGGGCACGCGCAGGCACACCACACGCGCGGCTCACGCCCCGCAGCTTCCCAGGAATGCCAGCTGCGGGCGCCCTGGCCGGAGCCTCCCCCCCCCCCCCCCCCCCCGCCCGCAGGGCCCCCCCGCCGCACGCCCTCCCCCGCGGCAGGCCCCCCACCCCGCCGCAGGCCCCCCCCAGCCGCAGGCCCTTCCCCCGCCGCAGGCCCCCCCCCGCCGCAGGCCCCCCCCGCCGCAGCCCCCCCCCCCCCCCCGCCGCAGGGCCCGGCCTCGCAGTCTACACCGGGGGCTCTGCGTGCTCCCGGCACCCCGTGAGACTCGAGGCGCGGGACCCCGCAGCGGCAGCCGCCAGCCCGCGCCCCCCGGTGGCCCGTGTCCGGCGACGGCCACGGCGGCCACGTCCAGGCCGCGCCACCGTCCGGGCAGCCTGTCCTGCGCGGCCGCCCCTCCCGGCCCGCGCCGGCTCCGCGCCCCCGGGGGCCTGTGCGGACGCGGGGGGCGAGGGGGGCCTCCTCGGGCGCCCCGTCCCCGGCTCAGCCGCCGCGTCTCCGCCTCGCCTCCACGCGGGGCCGGCGCGGCCGCGTCCAGGGACCACCTTCTGGTCTCCCCGAGGACGCCCTTCGCTGGTTTCGTCTCCTCTGATTGAGTCGCTGCTCCCCGATCTTCACGACTCTCCTCCTCCTGGGTCCAGTTTGCTCTTCTTTCTCCTTCACGGAACCTCGCGGGGCGACCCTGTGTCTCCCTTAGGTGACAGGAACTGGCGGCTCTCAGCGTCCTCCCGACACCCGCCTCTCCCGCCTGGGAGCTTTGCTGTTCTGTGTTTACATTTCATTGGTTTCAAGTCATTTTCTGATTTTCTTTTAAAGATTTGTTTATTTATTTATTTGTCCAAGCACTGGGCACAGTCAGAAGCGCGGGAGGGTGAGAGAATCCACCAGAGCCAGAGCGGGGAGCAGAGCAGGCAGAAGGACCGAAGGACACTGCTGAGGGGAGCAGCGGGCGGGACAGGAGAGGTCTGCGCACCATGCGGGACCCTCCTCTGGTGGCCGGGGAGCAGCCGGGGATCGAACCGGCGCCGCAGAGGCTGCGGGCAGCTTCACAGCCCAGCGCTCAACGCTGCGCCACCGGGGAGGCCCATTTTCTTATTTTCTTTGTCGCTGTTTTCCTCGACTCATTACTTAAGAACATGTTGTTTGATTTCCACATATTTGTGAATTTTCCAGTTTTTGATGTTCGATCCCATCGTGATCAGAAAAGATACCTGTATTACTTCAGTCTTTCAAAACTTGTCAAGATTTCCTTTGCGGCCCAACCTAGGATCCATCACGGAGACTGCGCCATGTCTAGTGGAAAAAGCAGGTGTTCTCCCATGGCGGGGCGCGCTGCGTCTGGCTGTTAGATATAAGTGGTTTATAATAGTGCTCAAGTTCTCTTTTTCCTTACTGGTCTTCTGTCCCGTTGTTCTATCCATTATTAAAAGTAAGGTATTGAAATCTCCCACCATTTTGTTAGACCTGTTCTTCCTTTCAGTCTGTCAGTTTTTTGTTTCATATATTTTGGGGCTCCTGTGTTAGGTCTGCTGTCATTTTCGTATATATTTTTTCAAGATTTATTTATTGGGGGCCTCCCTGGTGGTACAAGGGGTTAAGCACTGCACTATGAAGCTATCCGCAGCCTCTGCAGCAAGAGTTCGATCCCCAGCCAGCCAGGGAGAAATCCACATGGCGAGGCGGACCTCTCCTGGCTCGCCCGCTGCTCCCCTCAGCAGTGGATTTCGGTCAGTCTGCCTGTTCTGTTCCCCGCTCTGTCTCTGGTGAATCCTCTCACCCCCTGCACATCTGGCCTGTATCCCAGTTCTTGTACCCAACCCGCGCTACAGAGGCTGCAGAGAGCTTCACAGCGCTGCACTCAACCGCCTGCGCCACCAGGGAGGCCCAAGATTTATTTATTTATGCATACAAGAGCTGAGGTACAGGCCAGAGGTGTGGGGGGTGAGAGGATTCACCAGAGACAGAGTGGGGAGCAGAACAGGCAGATCTACTGAGATACACTGCTGAGGAGAGCTGCGGGCGAGACAGGAGAGGTCTGCTGCACCATGTGGGTAGCTCCCTGGCCGGCTGGGGATCAAACTTGTGCTTCAGAGGCTGCAGACAGCCTCATAGGTTGCGTCTTAACCCCTTGTGCCACCAGGGAGGTCCCTTTCATATATCTTGGTGAATTGAATCTTTTATCAAATTGTAATGTCCTTATCACTGCATAACTTTTTTGGACTTAAAGTCTATTTTGTCTGAAATAATATGGCCGGCTCACCTCTTTTGGTTGTCATGTGCTCAGAATATCTTTTTCCATCCTTTTGCTTTCAATCTCTGTGTCTTTGTGCCTGAAAGTGAACCTTTATGGGTAGATTATAAGTGAATCATGGTTGTGTTTAATCTAATTTGCTAATCTCTGTCTCTCAATTGGAGAGTTTAATCCATTCACATTTAAAGTAATTACTGATAAGGAAGAATTTATGTCGCCACTTAGCTGTTTGTTTTCTGTGACTTATATTTTCCTGTCCTGCATTTCTCCATCACTGCCTTTTTTGGAATTGGTTGATTTTTATAGAAAAGCATTTTAATTGTCTTCTTTCCACATATTTTTCAGTTGTTTATATATTTTCTACATATTTTTTAGTTATTTAGTGGTTGCCTTTGAATTACAAATAGCCTCTTAGAACATCTTACTTTGAGTAAAACAACTTTGTTTAAATAGTGTACCAACAGGGC